GCCGGGGAAAGTTCAGAAACCGTGGGGTACGTACCACGTTAGTGGCCACCTCGCCCATTCACAACACTTATTCCCCATGCGTTAAGATCCCCGGAAGCCTTTTGACTCAAAGGATTGGTTTCTGCCATCCTCAAGATTTTAAGGATGAGACCTCCTAGAGCCCTTGCAATTCCCTTTCTGCATGGGCATGCTGCGTTGCGCAGCGGGTGAATGGGAAACCGCAACCACCCTGACCAAGAACCAAGAGTTCTGCTGGTCGCCTCATCCTGAAAGATGGGTTCTAGGTGCCCTCAAAGCCTATAGCGTACCTGGCAATCCTCCTCCTCCTCCTCCTCCTCCTCCTCCTCCTCCTCCTCCTCCTCCTCTTGTTTCCTCCTCTTGTTTCCTCCTCCGCCTCCTCCTCCTCCTTCTCCCCTTGATTGATCCTTCCATTTGGTCATCCTCCTTTCTCTTGGGCAGGCCGCAGGCGCGAGGCCGTAGGCATCCTGACAAGGGTCCTCGCCCCTCAACGCTGGCCGTCAGGTTTCCCGAGCTTCTCCGACACCTCCAGATCCCCATAATTCCTCCTCCTCCTCCTCCTCCTCCTCCTCCCTCCTCCTCCTCCTCCTCCTCCTCCTCCTCCTCCTCCTCCTCATTCTCGTCCTGCTTCCTCCTCGGTGCCCTCCGCGCTCCCGCTGTTGCGCTCGCCCTCCACGTGGCACGCAAGGCTGCCAGCGGCAGGCGCACCACGCAAGAGGCCGGCCTGCCAGCAGGTACCCCGCGAGAGCCCCTGATCTCCCGATGGGCCCGCGGAGCGTCGGGGCGGCACCCCGCGAGGCACAAAGACGACGCAGGATGTGCCCCGAGATTTCTCACGGCATGATTTCTCATCGTCAGAGTGCGGGGGCCGCACGGTCATGCATTGTGCCTGGGTGTGCGGTTGACGTGGAGTTCCGCGGCGCGGATTATGCTTGTTGTTCGTCGTCGTCGTCCCACCCGCGACCCGCCGCCGCGACCCGCCCGCGACCCGCCCCGCGACCCGGCCGCGACCCACCCCGCGCCCGCCCCTCACTCCTGGTCCACAGCTGGGGGATGCTATGCATTACAAACAGTTAGGTAATGCCGGTACGAACTGAGGGAGCCTGAGTACGCATGTCTCGTTGAGAAGGTGAGAGCAGCGCTGAATGTTCGTTTCCAGACTTCGGCGTCGAAGCCCGAGACACTGTTCACAGATCGGGGGCGAGAGTTTTATATGACGAACAGCGGTGATATCACGCGAGAGAACAAAGGGGCGCTTGCACATAATGGCTTGAAAGCAATCATGGGCGACAATGCTGTCCTGCAGCCTGGGAGCCTGCAGGACGTCCTACTGCATGAGACGGCGGCATAGTGGCTGCGACACCGGTTGTCACGGAGCACGCCGGCGAAGTGCTGGCAGGGGTCTCGGGAGGATTACGCGCGAAGACTGACGCGCTGCTGCGAGGAGGTGAACAAAGAGTGCGACGTGGACGATCTCTGCAAAGGGCTGTCGAAGCGCATGAACCTGCTGCGCGACAGGGACTGCCGCGACGTTCGCCAAACGGGCGACGTCGCAGCCTGGCAGACAAATAGATGAAAAAAAAAAAAAAAAAAAAAAAAAAAAAAAAAAAAAAAAAAAAAAAAAAAAAAAAAAAAAAAAAAAAAAAAAAAAAAAAAAAAAAAAAAAAAAAAAAAAAAAAAAAAAACGGGGGACAAAAAAAAGAAGCCGCAGAGCGCAGGTCAGAGGATAACACAGCGGCGGGCGGCGGCGGCGGCGGGCGGGCGGCGGCGGCGGACGGCGGCGGCGAGCGGCGGGCGGGCGGCGGCGGCGGCGGCGGCGGGCGGCGGTGCCGGGCGGCGGCGGGCGGCGGCGGGCAGCGGCGGCGGGCGGCAGCGGGGCGCAAGAGCGCTGAGGAAATCTTTAGAAGCCCGCCCACCGCAGAGCTGAGTAACTTGCAAGGAGACCTTCCACCCCAGGGCTGAGTAAATAAATGTCTGGAGGCCCCCCACCCCCCCCACCGTAGAGCTGAGTAAATTTCGAGAAACCCCCCACCCACCCCAGTGCTGAATACATGTTTTAGAAGCCCCCACCCCACCCCAGAGCGGAGTAAATTTTCAGAAGGCCCCCCCCCCCCAGCGCTCGTTAAATCTCTAGATGACCCCGCCCCCTAGTCTCCCCCCCTCGCTGCCTTCTCCGTCGCGCGGACCTTGGGATTCTTCCTGTGCCTTAAACAAGTGGCGCGTGCGCCATGGCTCTTGCACAAAAGGGAAGGGGGAGGAGGGCGAGGTGGAGGAGGAGGGGGACGATGGGGCAAGACATCGCCCTTCGGGCCCAAGCAACGGTGCCAAAATCCCAGGCGGGGGGGGGAGGCGGCGTGCGTCGCGACGCGGAATAAAGTGCTCGGAGCGGAGGGGGCACGGGGCGGAGGTCCCATTGGGGCGCTGGGGGCGAGACGAGGAGGGGGGGAGGTGGCGTGAGTCGCGACGCAGGATAAAATGGTCGGGGCGGAGGGGCACTGGGCGGGGCTTTGGGCAGAGGGCCACAGGGCGGTGGTCCAACTGGGGCGTTGCGGACGGGGAGGGGGAGGGTGGGAGAGTCTGCGGCGCGCGTCCTGTCCCCCCCCGGCGCCGGAATAAAAAAAATAAAATAGTAGGGGGGGGGGGGGGGGGGGGCACGGGGCGGAGCGGAAAAAAGAGCGTGGGGGAGGTGGTGTGCGTCGCGACGCGGAATAAAGCGTTCGTGGCGGAGGGGGCAGTGGGCGGGGCTCCCGCTGGGGCGCTGGGGACGCGGGGGGGCTCGGGGCAGAGAACCACGGCGCGGGGGTCCCACTCTGGCGCTGGGGACGCAAAGGGGGGGGGGGCGACGCGGAATAAGCGTTCGTGGGGCGGAGGAGGCAGAGGGCCCGGGGTTCCCGCTGGAGCAGTGGGGACGCGGAGGGATCGGGGCAGAAAAACACGGCGCGGGGGTCTCACTTCTGGCGTTGGGGACGCCGGGCGGGGGGGTGGGGGTTGCGGACACGAATAAAGCTTTCGTGGCGGAGAGGGCAGTGGGCGGGGCTCCCGCTGGGGCGCTGGGGACGCGGGGGGGTTCGGGGCAGAGAGCCAGGGCGCGGGGGCCCCACTCTGGCGCTGGGGACGAGGGGGGGGGGGGGGGGCGACGCGGAAAAAAATTGTCGGAACTCTAGACACCTTGTGCAAGCGAATCAATCTTATATAAGGGTAGAGCGGCCGGGCTGGATCCCCTCCAAGCACTGTCGTTTTTTTAAAACAAAAAACAATCCAAAAGATCGAAACAGATTGGGCCCCCAGCGGGCCCCCACCCAGATCCCCAGGCCCGGGTGCCCGTGCCACGGTTCAGAACCCTGGTTTTTCCACCGTTTGCAATGTCTTGGTGGGGCCCTCCACTTGCTCTCCTGGGGCCGAAGCTGCGCGCCTTGCTCGAAAGCCGCCGACCACGCTCTTTCTCGAGGCCTCATCGGCCGATCTTTAAAACCGTACCAAGTTACCGAACCGTCCGTAAGTGCCCTGAGCCTCCCGGCAAAACCTAGCTAGCGGTTGACAAGACCTCGGCCATCCAAGAAGTTGCCGCAAAGAGCAGAACAACAACGGCCCATGTGCTTCTCTTCGAAGAGGGACCAGAGGCGAGGAGCCTCATTCCATCTGGACGTACCTGTTCTGTGCTACGCATCGTGCGCCTGCTGTCTGTCCCTCGCCCCTGCCCGCCCTCGCCCCGCCAGCCCCTGCCGAGCGCGAGAGGGAGCAAGCCGGGAGAGGGCGGCGCCCCTCTCGGTGGGCCCAGGGCTCTTTCGGGAGGGCCCCCGCCCCACTCTGGGAGGGCCATCCCTGGCGGGAAGGGGGTGCCCGATCAGAAAGGCCTCGGGGCACCCAAATCATTGGATTCCGGAGTTCGGTTGGCCGCGATCGGTAGCGACCAGCGGGCGCGCCAAATCGGCCATCACCCGTCGCGCCAGGTTCCAAAATCGGCCGCGACCGATGCTGGAGCAGAACAAGGTCGCGGTCGATAGCGGAATGTGACGCAGAAGCCGTGGCGACCGATCTTGTTGGCCACGACCAGAAGATTTCGGCATCTAAAGATCAGGGAGGGGGGCTCGGGATGCAGAGACAGTCCTGCACCAGCGGGCGCGGGTCACCAGCAGGAGGCCCCGAGAGGCGGGGTGCCTCCTCGGTCGCGGCCCTGCCCCAGCCGCGCGGCCCCCCCAGGCAAGTCGTGCCAGCCGGCGAGGTCCAGCCCTCAGGCTTGGGGCAGGGGCCCAGCGGGGTGGCCTGGCTTGCAGGGCGCTGCGTGCCCCAATTGGTATGCCCCGCGTGCGCCCCGCCCCTGGCCAACACCTGGTGGAGACGGGCCCCGGGAGCCCTCCCCGGGGCCCCAATCGCTGGCCAGCTTCTGCTCGAGAGGGGGGGCGCCACGGGAGGCCCGCTCATCGCCGAGAGCGCCGACCAAATCTGCGGTCGGTCCTTTGAGGATCGGCCGCGCGCAGAGGGGGGTTGGGGAGGAGGAAGGCTTCTCAGAAGCACCCCTGCTGCTTAGAAGGCGCGGGCCTTGTCTGCAGATGTGAGGCCGGCGCCTTCTAAGAAGCAGCCTCCTTCTAAGAAGCCCCCCCCCCCTCCCCCATACCACTCTCCGCGTGCCGCGAAGGGGCGCCCAGATTGCAAGCAGCCGTCAGTCGGCCCGAGCATTGTCCTAGGCACTGACGGGGTTGTGTCCCACACGCTTGGTGAGGAAGGGAACGGTTTTCAAGTGCAACGCTCGTGCCGTGCTTCGATGGCCCCATCCCGATGGTTTGTATCCCAGCTTTCGGCGTGTGGCGGCATCCACGTTTTGGCGCCAGCTGCGGACGCATGTTGTCTTGTCCGCTCCCATATCCCTCCTCAAAAACGGCGCTCGGTCTCAGATCTTGGCGCGCACCGCCAGCGTCAGATCCTGCGGTCGGCAGGGGATCGATGGCTGGTCGGGCCGGCACTGGTATTTATCATGGCTCGAGGTGTTGATCAATACGCTCACGGAAGCAATGCATGGCGACATTCACGACCTCCAGCAGATGATCTTGGCCAACAACAAGGTATCGGGAATTGACAGTTGCGTGCAGTTTGCCCGAGCATTGTGCCAGAACGAACCATATGCATAGCAATGCTTTGTCGATCCGTTGCTGCCGTTTGGGGGGCTGTGATGTGTTCATGTCCGGCATGATGCGTGGTCGTGCGATTGCATGTGCATGTTGATATTTTTTGTTGGGAGAAAGGGCGGTCCATCAAAATCAAAAGCCTCTCTGCTCTTGCTTCTAATTGAATTCCGTGCCCGCATAGTTCTCTCCCCCCCTATCTCTCAGCCATGCCCCCACTGCATGTTCGGTTTCCGCCCCTACAGCGCCGCCTCATCGCCATCCTTATCCCGCTCCTTCCTCTTCCCCATTCCCCCATCACCGTCCCACTCTCATCCTCTCCGCCCCTCCCTTTTTGTTCGCAGAGGGGCCGAGCTCGACGCCCCTGGACGTCGTGGTCCTTCGTGCACTGAACGCGATCGTCGTCTCGCGGGCGTCGCGGGCGTTGTGAGCATCCTGTCAAGGGTCCTCGCCCCTCAACGCTGGCCGTCAGATTCCCCGAGCTTCGCCGACACCTCTAGATCCCCATAGTTCCTCCTCCTCCTCCTCCTCCTCCTCCTCCTCCTCCTCCTCCTCCGTCTCCTCCTCCTTCTCCTCCGCCTCCTCCTCCACCTCCTCCTCCTCCCATAATTCTTCCAGCAGCCTCAGACTTAACACAGGCGGAACCCGTTTTCTCCCAGAGGGCGCGTCGGCGGCCATTCTGCAGGTTGAGTCGGACGTCGGGGGCCCGCGGGGACCTCGGCACGGCACGCCCACCGGACCTGCCGCGCCGTCTTGATCTGGGGTTGGGCGCGGAGCGGGCTTGAGGGAGCCCCCCCCCTCCTCCTCCTCCTCCTCCTCCTTCCCCTGTCCTCCTCCTCCTCTCCTCCTCCTCCCCTCCTCCTCCTCCTCTCCTCCCCTCCTCCTCACCCTCTCCTCCTCCTCATCCTTCCTCCTCCTCCTCTCCTCCTCCTCCCTCTTCTCCTCCTCCTCCTCCTCCTCCTCCTCCTCCTCCCAGGTGTTGCAGAGGTGCCAGCGCCAGATACGGAAGCTCGCCGAGAGGCCGTAGCGGGCGCCGCTGCCTGCGGCACCGGCACCGCGGCGAGATCGCCGAGGCTGTGCGCCCGACGTGGACCTCTGGCGCGAGCGCTCGATCGAGGGCCCCGTCGCCTCGTCGTGCGTCCCCCCCTCGGTGCTTGTCGTCCTCGTCGTCGTCGTCTTCCTCCTCCTCCTCCTCCGAAGCTCCGCCGCGCGGCCGCGTGCGCGAGCCAGCTCGGGGCACCTGCTTGTGCTGCACCTGCTGTGCCACCTGTGCGGCGCGAGAGCCCTCGTGGAGCGAGCGGCAGGTCGCGCTTCCCTGGCGGGCCGGGTCGGGTGGGGGCAGCGGGGCGGACCCCAGGGCCATAGCTTCGCACGGCTCGGGGAGAGAGGAGCAGCAGGAGAGCGTGCAGAAAGCGGCGTGCCCAAGGCCTCCTCCTCCTCAGCCTCATCCTCATCCTCATCCTTATCCGCCTCCTCCTCATCCGGCCCCTGCTGTTCCTCCTCCTCTTCCTCCTCATCATCATCAGCATCATCATCATCATCATCATCATCATCATCATCATCAACATCATCATAATCATCATCATCATCATCATCATCATCATCATCATCATCAGCATCAGCATCAGCATCAGCATCAGCATCATCATCATCACCACTAGCATCATCATCAGCATCATCATCAGCAGCATCATCACCAGCATCATCATAATCATCATCATCATCGCCATCGCCATCATCATCATCATCAGCAGCAGCATCATCATCATCATCATGATCATCATCATCATCATCATCATCATCATCATCATCATCATGATCATGATCATCATCATCATCGTCATCATCATCATCATCATCGTCATCATCTTCCAGCCCCTGCTGCTCCTCCTCCTCTTTCTACTCCTCTTCCTCCTCCTCCTCCTCCTCCTCCTCCTCCTCCTCCTCCTCCTCCTCTTCCTCCTCTTCCTCATCCTCGTCTTCCTGGGGTGACGACGAAGGAGCTCGAGGAAGCGCAAACATGGATTCAGGCGCGTGGTTCAGCGATGGGCCCTGCCTCCATGCAGAATCAATGCGCTCCGACGCCACACCAGGCGGCACTGGTCTCATTCTCTTCGTGGGCGCGCTCCCCGATCCATGTTACGGTAGGTTCGCGTCGTGTCGACCGGCGGCGATCCCGACGTTGGCGTTCAGCGTTGGATGCCGACTGCGACCGGCGACCCAGGATCGGCCGCTTTTGAACGATCTGACGCGTCGGCACCGGCCGATCGCTCGAGGCCGAACGATCCCCGCAGTGTCAGAGATCAGCGCCGCAGTCGGCACGACACGAGCCTGCCGCAGCGCGCGCCCAGTCTTGAGAGGGCGCGCACAGGGAGGGCCAGGGGAGGGGGGGAGGCTCCTCCCACGAAGGCTTGCCCTCTCCCCCTGCGCCCCCTCGCGCGCGCCGCCGAAGCCGGCCACCCCCCGCCTCTGCGAGCGCACCCGGACCCGGCGGCGCTCGCCGGCCTCGTCGTGCGCCCTCGGCCCGCCGCCCTCCCCCGAAGGCTCCAGCGAGCGGCCACAAGCCTCTCCTCGCCCCCCCCCCCCCTTCTCCTGGGCAGGAGGGGGGGCAGGGGGGGGAGGGCGAGGAGAGCGTCGCGGCTGCCGTCGGCGCGAGGAGGGGGGAGGGCGAGGAGGGGGGATGCTTCGGCGTTGGAGGGGGAGGGGGGGGAGCAGGGCGAGGAGAGGGGGGGGGGGGGGACCGCCCCCAGGGCGAGGAGCGGGTGATGGGGAGGGGCGGGGGGGGGGGGGAAACAGGACAAGGAGCGCGGGGCGGGCGAGGAGGGGAAGGGGAGAGGAGGAGGAGGAGGAGGAGGAGATGGAGGAGGAGGAGGAGGAGGAGAGGAGGAGGCGGAGGTGGAGGAGGAGGAGGAGGAGGAGGGAGGAGGAGGAGGCGGAGGAGGAGGAGGATTGGAGGAGGATTGGAGGGGCAGGAGAGGCGGAGGAGGAGAAGAGGAGGAGGATTGCAGGAGGAGGGAGGGGAGGAGGAGGAGGAGGAGGAGGAGGAGGGGAGGAGGAGGAGAGAGAGGGGAGGAGGAGGGCGAGGGGGGGGGGGCAGGGCAAGGAGAGGGGGGCAGGGCTAGGAAGGGGGTGGGGGCAGGGCGAAGAGGGGGGGGGGGGCGAGAAGTGGCGGAGCTTCTGCGTCCACGGGGGGAGCCTCGCGCTGTGGACGTCGGAGCAGGGGCCGCCTTGGGGCCCGGGAGGTGCTCCGGTTTTCGGGCCGCGCCTCGGAGCCGTAGCTTTAAGTACGACTGTTCGAGTATGTTTCGCTAGTTTTGAACTTGCTCGACTAATTTAATTTTTTCTTGTCCTCCAGAATCTGCCTGTAGGGGGACATGCCCGACCTAACCGTAGCTGCCCCGGCACGCCCGAACTGAAGCGCAGCACGTGCCGTGCTTCAAACGTCCGTGTTCACACGCTGCGTGTCGGCTCGGTCCGTGTGTTGGTCCGCGTGCTGGCGATCGCCTCGCGCCAGGCTTGCGCGCTCGGTCTGCGTGCGGAGCTCCGTGCCGGCACGCGGCGTGTGGCGTGTGGCGTGCTCCGAGGCTCGCCGTGCCCCTCCGCTGGCGCGTCGGCGCTCCTCGTGGCAGCCCCCGGCGGCTCCAGGCTGGGGCGAATGGGCAGGGGTGCCCCTCGGCGGGGATAGGCCCAGGGGCGAGCAGGGGCATCGCTCCCAGACCCCCTCGAGCAGTGAAGAGTTCGCGACGGGAGGGAGGTTTTTCGTCATTTTCGGCCTCTGGGGGCCCTTGCCGGGCCTCGGGACCGTCAAGAAACGGCTCAGGACGAAAAGCCGGCCCCGGGGAAGGGGTCGAAACCTCCTGGGGGTCGACGTCATGGAAAAATTGTCCGGGCAAAGCAACCTAACAGCGATGTGTAGAAGCATATCTGAAAGCATTCCCCTTAAGATTCAGATGAAAATCCAGTTGTAGAATTCTGCTGTTCTCGCAGTCGTTGTCGCATTCGCGATGACAGTCGCAGCGGCAACGGCAGTCGCAGTCACAGCCTCAGCCTCAGCCTGCCTCAGCCTCAGCCTCAGCCTGCCTCAGCCTCAGCCTGCCTCAGCCTCAGCCTCAGCCTGCTTCAGCCTCAGCCTCCGTCTGCCTGCAGCCTCGGCCTCAGCCTCAGCCTGCCTCAGCCAGCCTGCATCAGCTCAGGCCCAGCCTCAGGCCTGCCTCAGCATCAGCCTGCCTCAGCCTCGCCTCAGCTGATCAGCTCCGCTCAGTTGCTCAGCCTCAGCTCAGCCTGCATCAGCCTCGTGCTCAGCCTCAGGACTGCATCGGCGCCCGGCAGCACCACTGCCTCAGCATTCAAATGGGGCCCAGGAAATTGGTTTTGGAACTAGAAAAGAAAACACATGCCTACAGTTGGCTCCGGGCATCCACAATGTGGCCCGGGAATGGAGTTCTGGGAAGTCGAAGAGCACGAAGTGGCCTACAGTTGGCTCCGGGCATCCAAAATGTGGCCGGGGAATGGAGTTCTGGGAAGTCGAAGAGCACGAAGTGGCGTACAGTTGGCTCCGGGCATTCAGAATGTGGCCCGGGAATGGAGTTCTGGGAGGTCGAAGAGCACGAAGTGTGTGACTGTTTGCGAAAAACGAGTGCGGCGGCAGCCGGCGGGTCCCGCCCCGGGTCCCGCCCCGACCCCCCTGAGGAGTCATGATGCTCTCTTTTGAGACCACTAGAAACCTATCAGCAAAAGCTGTTAGGTAATAGTGACGTCGGGGGTCTGGGCCAGGAGGGGACAGGCCCAGGGGGAATGCATCGGCCCCCAGTCGCCAGCTCCTCGCCGACAGCCCCGCTCGTGCGGCTGCGCCGTTCGCCGATCTATCGGCGACGTGTCGCCGATGTCAGGTCGACGCTTCCGCCCCAAAGCCGCCCCCGCCCCCCACCCCTGACGTTCCCCCCCCAAGTCCAGGCCGGACGAAAGGGGGGGCATAGGGAAAGGGGGGGTTACGAAATTTGCTGCGTGCAGCTGGTTTCGGCCCCACCGAGGGGCCCATACCTCGATATACATGGCCGCCTCCGGCGCCGGGAGGCGCCGGGAAAATCAGCCCGAGGCACGGCAGGGCGAGGCACGGCAGCAAGAGCCCTCCGCATCGGGTGATCTGTCGGCGAATGGGGCTTTTTCCTGTTCGGTGGCGGCCGGGAGGCAATGTTTTGCTCGAGGCGGGGGGCTCGCATTCCGAGTTGGGCCTTTGGATTCTACACCGCTGCCACCGCCGTGCGCCTTCCAGGGAGCCTTCTGAACTGTGCGGGGAGTTCATCGGGCCGACGACAAATCCGCCAAACTTTTGATGCGTTCGATTGCGCGGTTGCGCCTTGCTGTGTCGAGTGTGGAGCATGAGGAAAAAGGCAGAGGAGAAAAGGAGGACGAGAAGGACGCGTGAGAGAGTTTTTTAAGGAGGAGACGGGGCAGAGAAACTTGTGCATACATGAGTACATATACAGATATGTCTGCATAGACGTACAGACATACAAAAGGCTACGTTGGCGTTTCGCGCCACGCACCTTGGTCCTTCGAGCTTTGCACCTGGTGGCAGTTGGCGTCGTCCTCTTTGACCTTTGGAGATTTTGTCGTTTCCTTTCGAGTCCCCTTGGCCCGTTCCTTAGTTGCTCTTGCCATCGATTTACATGTTCGTGCGCCACCAGATTTTGTCTTGGGGTGCGTTTCGATGCGGATTTTGAGGCGGACCCGACGACTTGGCGACGAGAATGTCACCCGGAGGCTCCGAAAAAACGTTGAACCAAAATCGCGTGCCTTCTTCGCTGGATCCTGCGCCATCAGGTGTCGTAACGGTCTGCGCGTTAATTTTTTGACACCGCTTGAATCGTTCAGCCGTGAACGCGCGCGCATTCCCGTTCAACACCAGCCGATTCTTGACCACTGGCCGCGTTCATTCCGAACGCCCGCGCCAGTGCCGCCGCCGCGTCGACACGACGTCAACCTACCATTACGAACGCATTGCCAAGCAGTGCCGCCATGTCAAGC